TTAGAGCTGGTTCCCCTTGGCCCTAGGAACAGAGAGGCGGAGTCACCGAGGCTGTAAATGGCAAAGGAGTTTATTGGCTAGCTCGAGCTAGGGTCCAAGTCCCGGAGCACCAACGCAGTGGCCTTCCTATGAACCAGGACCCCGCCCTGGGGTAAAAGTGAAGCTTTTATACTTTTTTTTGGCACACGACACGCAGGTTTCACACCATACGTTGGACACTCCATCCCCCCTCCCCCCTTAGTCCATTGGTTCCTTTGAAAGTGGCTGATTGTTTTGACTCCTGATTGGTTGGCTCCAAGCCTTGGGATTTTCAATTTTCACGCCGGCGCCAGTTGACCAAGAATGCTGGTCAACAACAGCCGCAATGCTGGCCGAGAACAGCTGCAATGCCCTGATACGGTGAGCTGGTGGTATGTTTTCTTCTGATTGGCTCTCTCCTGTTTGTGGTTTTTGCGGTTATTCCTGGTATCTCTACTTCATACTCCCGGCACTGGGCATTATGCTGAGGCACAACCTGTCATGGAGTTACTCCTGCTCTTACTCCTGTATTTAACAAACAGCTAAAAGCAAGCACGGTTACAGAAGCAAATGGCATTAGTTAGAATCAAAAAGAATGCATTTGTAAAAACAACAGAGTACATTCTCCTACTATTAATTCCTGTCTTTCACTTAGAGTGAGGAATGGGAGAACCTAAACAAACAAAAAGGAGAATTTTTTAAAAAGTGGCTTTGGTTTGTCCTTTCCCTATTACAGACATCTTAACGAATTACTGAGATTTGTCTATCGCCTTCCCCACTTCCCTCCACAATGGACAGCTCTGTTGCCGCTCTGGGTCTACACAGGGAGGTGTGTGTGTGTGCGTGTGTGTATGTGCACACACGTGTGTGCAGCTATGTTCTCTTTCTCCCTGAGACGTCACTTCCATTTTGTGTCCAGCTTGTGGCATAGAGTTAGAGATCATGAATATCCACAGATAACCTCTTAATGTAAATAGTTTATCTCAATGTAACTAAACTGTTATTTTCTTTGTTTCTTTTTCTGTTAAACATGGACTCTTTATAACCTAGATTGCAGTAGTGGTTGTTTTGGGCAAAGCCAGATCCACAGAAATGTAACGTATGGGGCCACTGCAGGAGCTTTGGGAGTGCAGAGTGAGGGGTCTGGGAATTTTTAAGATGCCCCTTTAAAGGATAAGGAAACTCCCTGAGAGAAGCCTTCTGCAGGAGTGAGTGGTAGGTGTGGGTGGAAATAGGGTATTTCCAGATGTTGTTGGAAGCCTCTCAGCTGCCTTAGGCATTGTCTTCTGGGTAGCACATGCCCGACTGAGTTGGCCACTTGCAGTTCCTCGGCTTCACCTTGCCTGCAGGAAACGTGGCAGCGGCTCCTCTTTGCCCTTGGGAATCCGGGAGTTATTTATTAATGGTATTTAAAGTCTTTCCTAATATATCTTCAACTTGTCGACTCCCACCTTTCTCCTTTGAAGTTCCTGAGGGGTCAGAGAGGGAAGTACAGGGAAGCTTCAGGGAAATTTTAAACATTTGCCTGGAAAAGGTGGGGAGCTGAAACCTGGGCCGTGTGGGCTGGCCTGTTCCACCTCTGCAGCCCCAGTCCTGCCTGGCTGCCCACACGTTTTCTGCTTCCTCCTCTCGCAGTTATCCCTCCCCCCAGGGCCCTCTCCAACTTCAAACCATTCCTGCCTTTCATTGACTCTCCCTGAGAAGCTGACAAGCAGCCTCAGGGTTTTCCAGTAAGAGTTAACTACAGAGGCACAGGTTGGAACAAGTGCCAGGGAGTTTGGCCGCCTGCGGGGCTTTCCTCCTGCCTCACTCTAACTCTCAGTCCAGAGGGAAGATTATTGCAGTGGTTTCTGTTACAGATGATCTGCCCGACAGGAGCATCCTGCTCCTGGCCTTTGCAGGTCAAGTCACCCTCCTCATGGCTCAGCCCCAAAGCACCTTTGATGGGCGAAAAGGGTCTTTACGTGCCAAAGGAACCGTAGCGTGAGCAGGGAAGGCTCTCTTTCTAGAAAATATCATGCACCATCAGTGGGCAGAGCTGCCACGTTGTGTGATTCCCGGCACCGTTCACATTGCACCGTAGGGTCACCACGGGACAATGATGCCTCCTGTAGTTGTCCAACCAGGCAGCCCTGCTTTGGAGGTACTATTATTTAAAACACATTTTCCCAACTATAATTTAATGATGAATTAATTTTGGTAATGATTGTCACTTACACTGAAATTTATAATTTTGAGCTTTTATGATTATTTTTCTTCTTTTCCCAGCTTGATAATGATCATCTTCATTGAAGGCAGGAAGCCTGTGCATATAAGATGCTTCAGCTACCACAGTGCCGTGTACATAGAACTTTCATAGTAAATTTAGTCTTGTTAATATCGCATTAAAATGAACATTCGAAGGCAGAAATGAGCACGTAAAGCAGCCCTGAGCATGTCCAATGTGCTTTCTAGTCTCTAGAAAGCAATGCCTACATGGCCCTGGCATTGTGGAGTGCTGCCGTTTTGTGATTGGAAAAATCACAGGAGTCATTTTGGACTCTTGGCCTGGGGTCCCACTATTTTCCAACAGGAGGGGAACAGCACCCCCACGTTGCACAACTCCGGTGGGCACCGTTAGCATTGTCATGCATATGAGCAGTGCCTCCTGGAGTTGTCTACAGAGGCCACCTTGCATCAGAGGAACTGTCATTCAAAAACAATTCATTAGTTACCTAATCTATATTAGGACATTAGCAGAAATAAAAATTTGTCAATTCACTTCCAATCTTATCATCCCAACAAATCATTCTTCCTATTTTTCCTTGACATTTTACATTTCTTTTACTTGGCATACATTAGTTTTGCATAGCTGTAGTCCAGAGTAGTCTATAATTTTGTATTAAGCTTTTTTTTTTTTTCCTTTTCAAGCTATGTTATAAGCTTTTCTGTGCTATCGCAGTCCTTGTCATGGTCGATGGCTTTAATTGTACCAAGTGGATTACAATTAATTATTTGGCCACTTGACAGTTGGCTCATTTCCAGTGTTTCACTATTATAAAGAATGGGCAGAAGGCAAAGGGAGCTCTTATTTGTTTCCTTTGACTTATGTGTCAGTCACTATGCTAGACACTTAATTATCTCATTTATTCCTCTAACAATTATTTCTAGAACTGAGACTCAGACTGGCTAAGCAGCATAGTAGTACGAGCTAATGTATGTTGAACTCTTACCGTGTGTCATACTCTTTGCTAAGAACTTTTCACGTAATATCTCATATCTCACTACTCCGTAGAAAGTACATATTTCCACTCTTTTGGGAATGATATTAATTTGAGGAGATGTTTAAATGCCTTGTCCAAGGTGTCATGTCAGAACTTGGAGAGGATAGAGTTGAACCCAGGTCTTTCCAAACTGTCTGAAACTCATGGTCAGTATAACGTCAGCTTCATGAGGGAGTTTTCTTTTTTCCCCTCTTTTTGTTATCTGCCGTGTTCCCAGTGCTGGGAGGAATACCTGGCGCATAACTGGTGCTCAGTAAAGGCTTGTTTAATGAATAATGGAATGGTCTCAGCACTATATAAGCAGCTTGAGGTCAGGTTTCTTTGACTCACAAATATTTGCTTTTCTGCTATATCTCAGGTATAGGTGAGTAGAAAATAAAATTTACGCCCACATACAGAAGACACGCATATTTAGGAGTTTGCATGTGTGTGTGTAGTCCTTTTAATTCTATTTCACTTTTTTATTCAGCTTAAAAGTTTTTTTTTTTTAAATGAGGCTTTATTTTTTTAGAGCAGTTTTAGATTCACAGCAAAATTGAACATGAGGTACAGAGATTTCCCGTATACTCTCATCCCCCCTCACAAGCATAGCCTCCCCCATTATGATCATCCCCCACAGGGTGGTACTATATTCATCACACTTGATGAACCTACATTGACAAATCATTATCACTCAAAGTCCAGAGTTTGCATTAGGGTTCACTCTTGGTGGTGTACATTCTATGGGTTTGGACAAATGTATCATGACATGTATCTACCACTATAGTACCATACAGAGCAGTTTCACTGCCCTAAAAACCCTCTGTGCTCTGCCTGTTCATCCCTCCCACCTCCCAATCCCATGATCTTTCTATTGTCTCTACAGTTTGCCTTTTCCAGAAGGTCATAGAGAATGCATCCTTTCCAGATTGGCTTTTTCGCTTAGTAATATGCATTTAATCTTCCTTCATGTCTTTGTGGTTTGCTAGCTCATTTCCTTTTAGGGTTGAACAATACTCCATTGTCTGAATGTACCACAGTTTATTTATCCATTCACTTGCTGAAAGACATTTTGGTTGCTTCAAAATTTTGTCAATTATGAATAGAGCTGCTATGAACATCTGTGTGCAGGCTTTTGTGTGGATATACGTTTTCAACTTTTTTGGGTAAGATACCACAGGGCACGATTGCTAGATTGTGTGGTAAGAGTATGTTTAGTTTTATAAGAAACTGCCAAACTGTTTTCCAAGGTGGTGCTATTTAACATCATTTTGCATTTCCATCAGCAGTGGGTGAGAGTTCCTTGCCAGCACTTGGCATTGCCAGTGTTTTGGATTTTGGCCGTTCTATAGGTGTATAGTGTTATCTTGGTGTGTGTGATCTTTTTCTTTCTTTTGGTTTATATTTTTAGGAATCATTGTGAGAAATGCAATTACTACAGGAAACTGTAGAAACATTTTGTAAGTTCTTAAAATGTATTAATTTTTTCCTTTGCTGGTTAAGTTAGTGTGTCTTGTTACTAGATATGCAAAAACAGTCCAGTTTTGCTGCTACCTCGCCGGAACTATTTTAAAAGAAAAATCCTTTACTTATTGTTACACAGGAATACATTGCTACCTCAGTATTTTGTTTTCATTTCATTATTTGCTTTGGGAGCTTTTAAGGATGATTTGTTTAACAAGATACCATGTTTGTTTTGAAGCTTGGTGCTGCGACTTCCTAAACATGAATGTTTTTCAGGTCCTAAACCAGCTGTCTATCTGCAGCATGGCTTGCTGGCAGATTCCAGTAACTGGGTCACAAACCTTGCCAACAGCAGCCTGGGCTTCATTCTTGCTGATGCTGGTTTTGACGTGTGGATGGGAAACAGCAGGGGAAACACTTGGTCTCGAAAACACAAGACGCTTTCAGTTTCTCAGGATGAATTCTGGGCTTTCAGGTATATTTGAATTGATTATGACATGGGGTGTATTTCCTTACACCCAGTACCCTTAACTCAGACACATGGGGATTTCAGCAGAAGAGGCAGATGGGTAACTCTGAAATCGTATGAGAGGGAAAACTGATGTCTCTTGAAAGGTTTTAAACCTTGCTGGGAATTTAAAACTAGCATTAAGGTAAATTATTACATTAATAAATAGATTTAGTTAGGGATTCTTAGGTTATTTGACATTCCTGGTGGTGTGGGAGCTCCTGGGTAAGTGTCCCATAACCTTCCTCCTTCCTCTGTAAACATGTACTCCAAATGTTCACTTCTCTTCTTTATAGAAATTCTTTTTCTCTCTCTCTTTTCTGATGGCACCAATTAGTTGCATATGACATTGGACATGTTGCATAAGCCCTCTGTGTCTTGATTTCTTTATTTGTAAAATGGGGGATAATAAACACCTCATAAGGTCATTGGGGGCTTAAAGGAGAGGATACAGGGAAAGAGCCTCCATGGAGCCTGGCACATTGTAAGTGTTGGTGGCCTCTCTACCTCCTGATGGCAGACACGCACACCTGGGTTCAGGACTATGTCTTGCTCCCAGGTATTAGAAAAGATCAGCAGTGTGGAGGCTTCCAGGCTGGCTTCTCTTTTGTAAGACCAGAGCCTCACTGGACAAAATACAAGAATGAGAGCTTTTGCCAAAAGGCATGTGCAAGAATATGGTTTTTGTCACACCATTTGTAATAGCAGAAAACTAGAAACTGCCCAAATGCATGTCAGCAATGAGTGGACAAAGTGTGACATATTTACATAGTAAAATGAGAATGAGCAACCTACAACTATAAGCAACAACATGATGAAGCCAGATACAGAAAAATACATACTGCATAATCCCACCTATAGAAAAATTAAAAAACAAGTGAAAGTAATTTATGGCATGAAAATTAGAATACGAGTTACCTTTCAGGGAGGCATAGCTGGAAGGGAGCCCAAGAGGGCTTCTGCAGTCCTGGTAATGTTCAGTTTCCTGAACTCATTGCCCGTTTGCTTATCTGTGTTCAGTTTGTGATAATGCATCAAATTGTATGCTTGGTAGTTGTGTGCTGTTCTATTTTATGTACTATTTCAATGAAGGAATTCCTTTCTTGGATTACAGTTATGATGAGATGGCAAAATATGACCTACCAGCTTCTATTAACTTCATTCTGAATAAAACTGGCCAAGAGCAAGTGTATTATGTGGGTCATTCTCAAGGCACCACAATAGGTATGTATGTAATTAAGATTGAAGTTAATATAATGTCTTTATTACAGAGGTTGCACTTGTTCTTAAAAGTGATATATTTAAAAAAATTAATTCGAATGCATTTATTTTTAAATGCCAAACCAAAATAATGAACAGGGCAAAGAATTTGGAAATATTTAGTCTTCTTTGGAAATTCATGGTATAAGGGTCTCTTCAAATTGAAGGAATTAATATAAACCACATTGTATTAGTTATTTTGTTAGATAAGCAAGATGGGGTTGTGAGAAGGTAGAAAGCAAGAAATTTTCTAAGTTCAGAGACTTAGATGGGGTACGGTGACTCATGCCTGTATTCCCAGTACTTTGGGAGGCCAAGGTGAGAGGATTGCTTGAGGTTAGGAGTTCAAGACCAGCCTTGGGACAACATAGCAAGACCCCTTCTCTACATAAAATAAAAATATTAGCTAGGCATGGTGATGCATGGCTGTCTTCCTAACTACTTGGGACATTAAGATAGGTGGATTGCTTGAGCCCAAGAGTTCAAGGTTACAGTGAGCTATGATGGTGCCACTGAACTCCAGCCTGTACAACAGAGTGAGACCCTATCTCAAAAAAAAAAAAAAAAAAGAAAAAGAAAATAAGAAAATATATTGACTTTGAAAGTTAAGTGGAATATAATTAAATACAGATACAAGGATGATAGATTATTTATAAATAGTTTTAAAAGCTGTATGCATTTTTAATTTATGTTGATTGTAAAAGTAATGTATGTTCGTTGTAAAGAAACATGTAAAATTTAGCAAAGGTAAAAGAAAGTAAAAATTACCCATAATTCTAGCAAGCAAGGGTTTACTCTAATTAGTGGGTAGGGACCTGTCTTATAATTTATTTAATTCTCCCTTTTAGTGGTTGCTGTGACTAACACCTTTGTGTTCATGTTACATGATCTCCTTAGAATACGTTCCTAGAAGGAGACTATATGAGAGGTATGAATGATTTTAAGGGTCATGATATATAGGGTTAACTTGTCTCACTCTCAGAAAAATGGAGGGAGTCATTTTTCTGCATTCATATTCCTTCTCTCATGCTTGTCTACTTGCATCCTTTGTCCTACTACTCTCTAAAGTGACATTCTGGGGCCAAGTGGCAAGAAGTGACCTCAGAGAGGGTAAAAAGATATTTAAAGTTAGGGGATTCTAAATGCAGGAGCTCCTTTGGAGTCTTTGGTGGTTTGGATGTGTCTGTGAATTGTTCCTGGAGGGGTTTTGGGAATGAAGGGGTGGGGAGCTCTTAGAAATACGGTCTGTGGTTCATGTTGTTAAAGGAACAGGGAAGACTTTCTGGTTCTCCACACCTGGATTTCTTCCGGTGCATATCTAGGTTGAGATTTGCAACAAGCACTTAAGAAATACTTGATTTACTAGTTTAATCAAGTTCGGTGCTGGCGCACACAGTTCAGAGGGGCCCCGTATCGAGTGTTTGGCCCCCCAGGGCGGCGTTGCCTGCCTGGTTCTCAGGCTGCCGCTAGAGGGCGTCACGAATGCCCGGCCTTGCCTTTTTTGAGAAGGAAATCCCAGAAGATGAATTCCTGTCTTCCTTTTGTTCCCACAGGTTTCATAGCATTTTCACAGATCCCCGAGCTGGCCAAAAGGATTAAAATGTTTTTTGCCCTGGCTCCTGTGGCTTCAGTGGCGTTCTCTACTAGCCCGCTAATCAAATTAGGACGATTTCCAGATCTTCTTCTTAAGGTATTGGGATCCCTGCATCCCTCTCCCCTCCCCACAAATTTCCTCCTCAGATCTGAAGAATTGGCCACGGGAGGGAGAATGTGCGTGTGCCTTCCTTCTCTGCAGTTTGCGATCGGTGGAGCAGTGGGTGTTTCGTTCCCCTTCACCCCTACTTCCAGACCCAGGGGAGTCACGGAGGTCTGCGGGTAACTGCGCCCTGGAGCCGCGTGTGCTCGTGGTCCACAGATCCTGCAGCTCCCTACCTACCACACGAGGGCAGTGCAGGGAGGTCTGTGAGAAAGTAATTCACACGTTCACGGAGTTGCCCTGTATCCATAAGGTGAGCCCGTGCATAGCCGCGGGCAGGCTGTGGGACGCAGGAGATGTACTGTTCCCATATGCCGGTCCCCAGCCACACCCAGGGCCACCCAAAGACACTGTTATTATTATATTTAGTAATATGGCGCCTAATCACAAGCCAGTAACCTCATCAGGGCTTAGCGCTCAAGCTATGTGACCCTAAACTCTGTTCAAGGAGGAAACAGCTTTCATGAGAAGTTTTAAGCCAACTGAGGCTAGATGGTCTATTCATGCATTTTTTTTTTTTTTTTTTTTTTTTTGAGACAAAGTCTTGCGCTGTTGCCCGGGCTAGAGTGCCGTGGTGTCAGCCTAGCTCACAGCAACCTCAAACTCCGGGACTCAAGCGATCTTTCTGCCTCAGCCTGCCGAGTAGCTGGGACTACAGGCATGCGCCACCATGCCCGGCTAATTTATATATATATATTTTTAGTTGTCCAGATTATTTCTTTCTATTTTTTTTAGTAGAGACGGGGTCTTGCTCTTTCTCAGGCTGGTCTTGAACTCCTGACCTTGAGCGATCCATCCGCCTCGGCCTCCCAGAGTGCTAGGATTACAGGCGTGAACCACCGTGCCAGGCCTATTCATGCATTTTATATGCTTTATGTATTATACATTTACACATGCATGAAGTTCTGTACAGAAGTATATACTTGCAATCAGGTTATTACATATCTCATGGGCCACTTAAAAGACTTTAACAGGAAATATGGACAATACTCTGAACTCAGGGCCTGACTCTCACATAATCTGGGATTTACTGTATCAGTGACCAGAACATGCAGATAAGGTGTAGCCATCCCTGACCAAATTTGTTTTTAAAGCCTTGAGTAACAGAAGCATCGATTTTCATTATAAACAGTGTAGAGATTGTAAATAAAGTACCCCTCAACTACCAAGCCTTCTCCTAGTGCCTTTCTCAGAATTAAATACAGTGCTCAGTTGGAGGTCTTTTTCTAAAGACCTTGTATGTGAATTTATATACATATAGATGTACCAAGGAAAATATATTGTTTTGTTTTAATGTAGCTGGTATCCAACTATATATATATTGATTTGCAGATTGCATTTTTCACTCTTGGAGAGCTATCATGTTAATACATAAAACTCTACCACATTCTTTTTAACTGCGGCACAGTAAGTTTTTGATTATAAGGAACTACTATTTATGTAGCCAGACTCCTATGGTAGACATTTAGGTTGTTGCTAATTTGCTGTTGCTGCATCTTTTTGCCTTTTTAGGGGCACATTCACAGAGTGGATGTGGAGAAGTGAAATTGCTGTGTCATGGGAATGTGTGTATTCACCCCACTTTGGAGGTAGTGTTTTGTAAGATCTGGAGTGGAGCCCAGGAATCTGTGTTTTTACAAGACACCCTATGTGATTTCTAATGTAGGCTAAACAGTCGGGTATTTGGGAACCACCGTTTCATATCACGGTGCTTTATAGTATACTGGGAGAGTAAAAATATAAATGAATGAATGAATGTTCATAAAACCTTTGAAGCTACTCTGAAAAATATGCTGCTTCTGTGAAAGTAGAGTATCACCTCCAATCCTTTCTCAAAGTGCAAATTATGAAGATATCAAAGTTGTATGAGGAGGCCTGTAGATGTATAAGGCAAATTTTTCTCTCTATATACTGTCCTACAGTGACACAATTTTCAGAGGAGTTTGCCACATGAGTGTTTGGGCAGTAGTTCTGAAGTACAAGGTCAACTTCACCTCCTTTGTCAATCAAAAGGAAAGCTTGCTTTATTGCGATTTAGGTCAGTGATGCATCATCCTGTTAATTTATTTTTAGTAGAGAACTTAAAGAATATGTACACTTGTCATGTGAGACCATTATGTAGACTCACAGCCAGAAGTTTTCAAAGTGGTGCCTTTGCATGTCACAGGGCCTTCTCTACATGTGGTATATTTACTAACTGGTTCTCCACAGCTAGTGCGGTTCGTCTAGAGAGGAGGAACATTCGAGGAGACCTGGTTTTTAGATATTCAGGAGTTCTCTTGTAGAATACTGATTTGACAGAGAACCCAGCTGTCCCTGTGTGGGCCACATTTGCTGGAAGAAGTATTGAATATGGCCCATACAATGTTATACATTTAAATTAGTTGCATCTTTTAAAAAGTGGGATATTTAACATTGTAGTCTTGATAACTGATTTTTTTCGGGGGTGGGTAGGGAAGGAAGCTGTGCTCCATAAGCCTGTGGATTAGTGATGGTTGCAAGTAGCAGTTAGGCTGAGCATAAGCTTTTGAGTTCATCACAGTTCTCAACACTCCCTAGTCATCACCTCTGAGGCAGGGTGGCTTTCTTCCATTTCCAGTTTTTTCCATTTATAGTTACATACCTGCCTGTATTAGTTTGCTAGGTCCATGAGAAGGAATCTGTTCCGTGCCTTCCCCATAGTGTCCAGTGGTGGGCCGGAGATCTTTGGCATTTCTTGGCTTGTAGAAGCATTACCTCGATTTCTGCCTTCATCTTTGCACGGTGTTTCCCTGCATGCATGTCTGTCTCTGTGTTCAGATTTCCCCTTTCTGTAGGGACATCAGCCATATTGCATAAGGGCCCACCCTAATGACCTCATTTTAACTTGATTCCTCTAAAAGACCCTGTCTCCAAGTAAGGTCATTCTGAGATATTGGGGGTTAGGGCTTCAAGTGTATCTTTCTTAGGGAAGATGATTCAATCTATAAAACTGCCTTTGTAGGCATTTGAGTTTTTTATTTCTGCTTTTCCCTCCAGAGGGTATACATGAACAAGAGTATAAATTATGAAGGTTCAGTATAAGTGAGATCTTTTTTCTGTTTCCTATTGCACAAGTTTGTGAAGATCTGCCTGAAGAATGTAGTGGTTGCCCTGGAAGTGCTTGAGCACAGGTTCAGTGGCCATTGGTTAGGAACAATGTAGGGCAGGGGTTGGCAAACTTTTTCTGTAAAGGGCCTGTTTGGAAAAACTCAAACCATGTTTCCCTGTGCTCTCACACCACACACTGACGATCAACACAGACAGAAGACTTCCATGACCAAATGTGGAGGATTTGTCCACACCAACAAACATTCAGTTCTGCAATAATGCTGTCTGAGTGTCCTCTAATTCAGTTACGACACTATCTACTTGGAGATAGTGTCAGATCCCACAGTTTGAGGGCTCAATTCCCCAAACTGCCCTCCCCCCACTTCAGGCACCATTTGCAAGTTGGGCCTCTGGAACATTTGACCAACTAGTGTCAAGTTGGAGTTCCCATGATCCCCTCTTTAGGTTTAATTAGTTTGCTGGAGCACCTCATAGAACTCAGAGAAACACATTTACTGGTTTATTTTAAAGGATATTACAAAGGATACAGATGAAGAGATGCATAAGGGGAGGTATGAGAAAAGGGTTTGGAGATTCCATGCTCTTCTGGGCATGCCACCCTCCAGGAGCCTCCACATATTCAGCTATCTGGAAGCTCTCCCAACCAGTCCTTTTGGGTTTTTATGGTGGCTTCATTACATAGGCATGATTGATTAAACCACTGGCCATCAACTTAGCCTTCAGCCCACCTCTCCCGTGCTTGGAAGTCAGGGGGTGGGACTGAAAGTCCTAACCCTGTAATCGTGCCTTGGCTTCCATCCCGAAGCTACCTAAGGGCTGCTAGCCATGAGCTGATTATTAGCGTACAAAAAGACATCTCTTTGGAGATTGTAAGGATTTTAGGAGCTGTATGCCAGGAAACAGAGTCAAAGACCAAATATATATTTTACAATATCGTAGGACCAAATAGTAAATATATTTGGCTTTGTGGGTCATTTGGTCCCTTTTGTAACTATGCCACTCTGCCATTACAGCGTGAAAGCAATCATTAACACTATGTAGAGAGATGAGTGTGGCTGTGTTCTAACAGAACTTTATTTATAAAAACATGCAGTGCCAGGGGAGAGGGGAATGGGGAATTATTGTCTAGTGGGTATAGAGTTTCAGTTTAAGAAGATGAAAGAGTTCTGGAGATAAATAGATAGTTGCACAACAATGTGAGTGTACTTAATGCCACTGAACTGAACATGTAAAAACAGTTAAAATGGTAAATTTCATGTTATGTATCTTCTCCCACAATAAAAAAACGTTTTAAGAAAAAACCAGGTAGTGAGTTGGATTTGCACTGCTGGCCAGTAGAATCACATTAGATGTGTGCACACCCAGCAGGCGTTGCCGGTCAGTCAGCCCTCAGCTGTTTCTCAGAGTGAGATGAAAACTGTTTGGGGCTGGCCCTGGGATGAGGGATCATTAGGCCTTTTCCCACTGTAGAAGTCCATTGTAAGCTTATTTGGTTTTCTGCCTCCTCTTCATTTTGAGAATTTAAATACACGTCTGTGATGTGTGATTTTTGCCTTAATAAGCTTATTGTATAAGTGTCTAGTTTGAATGTCCACTGGTTGCCTTTTCTCCTGAGGCTATATGTGGAGACACTTGGTGCATGTCTCTGCTTCTGAGGTGGGTCACAGAGGCACATGCGCCAGAATGAAGTGCTGAAATATTCTTGCATTTCTTTTTATTTTGCAGGACTTATTTGGGGACAAGGAATTTCTTCCACAGAGTGCATTGTTGAAGTGGCTGGCTACCCATATTTGCACTCATGTCATTCTGAAGGAGCTTTGTGGAAATCTCTTTTTTGTTCTGTGTGGATTTAATGAGAGAAATTTAAATATGGTATGTATGTTTATGATAAGGCTTGATTTAAAATTCCAATGATTTCATTTTATCTGTGAATGTGCTTATTTGTGTTGGATGATGTGGGAGAGGCCAGATGACCTCATCAGAGCTCTAGAAGGTCTTTCATTTAAAAGGTGCAAGAATCAACTCTGGCAGGTGCCTAGAATACTGCACCATCTGCTGCTGTTCTGAGGCTAGTTGCTGTCAACTTCCTACATTGTACCTGCATGGAGACTGTTGAATAAGGAGATCTGTCACAATTTGTTGTAATATTTATATTTATTCTAGTGATTGGTGTCTTTTAAAAAATTACTATAAGTGTGTTTCAATTTGGAATGGCCATTTATACGCACATATATCTATAGATATACATGCACACGTACACATGTATATATATCATATATTTATTTATTTATTTATTTTATAAAATGTAAAACCTCAGCCAGCAATATGCTTGTGTTTCTAAATATATTTGTAGTTTGTAGTGTTGCATTTTGAAAACAGGTTTTAAAATTCTGGAATGAAGGCTCTGAAAAAAATTTTTTAAATGAGATTTTTTTTTCCTGATAATTAAAGCAAGGTGTGATTGTTATATAAAATTTTGGAAGTTCAGGAAAGCATGAAGAAGAAAATAAAAATGACGTGTAATGTCAACCCATATGGCATTATGCTTACCATACTGTTGCATTTCTTTCACATGTACTCTATGTGTATGGTTGTATGTGTTTTTATAGGATGTATTTGTAGTCAAAAAATTTCTTCTACTCCTGATCTTATATATTTGAAGGTATGGCTCTGTAGTTTTTAACGTTTTGAAGGGCAAAATATAATGTTTATTATCACTGTCACCTTAACGCTATTTTCATTCTTTATTTCAACGTGTTTATTTTGCAGTCGAGAGTGGATGTGTATACAACACATTCTCCTGCCGGGACGTCTGTGCAGAACATGTTACACTGGAGCCAGGTAGGTGTTCTAGGAGTGCAGTTGTGGTTCATGTAAAATCCACGTTAGAAAGGTCTGTGGGTTCCATGAAGCACCCCTCTGCCAACCCTTCCCAAATAGAAAGACAATCTGCTTACAGATATGATCTGGTTTTCTTCCCTAGGGTCCTGGGTTCTTGTCATTGTGTTTGTGTTGCTTTTGTTATCCTTGGTGGAGCATACTATGCAGACAGAGGTTCACCCAACAGCTGTCGGGGTTGACTTTTTCCCCCTTCCCTCCCCCCTCCTTCGGTTTCAGATTTATGCTCTATATTCCCTCACTTCCTTCCTTTCCATTTCCCCCTTCCCCTCTCCTTCATCTGTTTTTCATTGAGTCCTAGATTTATTTTATTTCTGTGTTGCTTCATAAAGCCTGACTTTAGAGCAGCTTTGGAGGTAGGAACTGCTATTTCAGCATTAACTCCCGAACACAATGTGCTTGGAACATCAGTGGATAAACCAGAGCTAAGCCGATCATGGACATGAATGGGAGCCACTAACTTTTAAAATATAGTTTTGATGATTTTATCACATAAATAATGCATGTCCATTCTAGGAAATTTAGAAATTACATCTAGTCAAAAAATACTATCTTAAAATGAGCATAAAATCATTCTCTAACCTTACACAGAGATAAGAAATGCGGATCCAGAGATGCTAAATGCCTCCGCATTCTACCCTACCCCTCTTGCTGCATGTCATTCCATGCATTCCAAAAAAGGCAGTTTAAGATGTGGATAGAAATAGTAGATTTGGAAATAGATTAATTAATTTTCTCCTTACTATTTTACAACTTGCTTTTCTTTTTCCACCTAACAATATGTCCATGACTTATTTCCACCTCAGGACATATTTTTGTACATTTTTTCCCCAGCTAATTTCATTTTAAATTTGAAATAACTCAGTATTTAAGCCAAGATGTTATAGGTGTCTTAGTAATTTCCAAGCACTGAACAGTCACTGCTTGCATCAGAATCATTGAATTGCTTTTAAAAGTATACTTTTTGTATACTTTTATATATTGCTTTAAAATTTTAAGTATACATTGCTTTAAAAAAGTAATGGGAGTTGGGTTTGTAGCAGAACTGCTGGGTTGGCTACCATCTAGGCTAACAAAAACTAAGACTCCTGTATCCCAATCATTTCGATGGATGAATCTGTACTTTTATATTTTTTAACAATTTTATTGAGGTATACGTGACATATAATACTTAAAGAATGCAAGTTGATATATATTGACACTCATGTACACTTGTGAGCCCATTATCACAATCAAGGTAGTGAATACATCCATTTTCCCCAGAAGTTCCCTTCTGCCCCTTTGTAACACCTCCCTCCTGGCCTCTCCCCTCCATCCCCAAGCAACAACTGATCTGCCCTCTGTCACTGTAGGTTAGCTTGCATTTTCTAGAGTTTGTATAAACTCAGTCATACATATACTTGTTTTTGTCTGGCTTCTTCTACTCAGCATAATTATTTTAAGATTCTTCCATGTTGTTGCATATATCAGTAGTTCATTTCTTTTCATTCCTGAGAATCTGTATTTTTTAAAAAATCTGCCTAGTAGATTCTTCACCCAACCAGGTTTGAGAGTCACTGATCTGGGACATCCTGATGCTTTAGTCTCCTTCCTCAGTTGCTGCAGGAACTTTGTCTGTGGGGAGTGGATAGTTCACCTCTCTCTGGGCTCATCTCTAAGGACCTAGGAGGAGCCTGGCCTGAAGCTCACTGTAGTGACCGGAAGGCTGAATGTTTAACGCTAATCCCTCAGTGCCAGAGTTTGCTGTGTCTTAGAAGAGGGGCATCTGGAAGGCATGTAGTTCATGGCCTGCTGGACACACCCTCACCACTTAAGGAATGCCCCGAAACCTTCAGAAATCTTCACATTCGTTCAGGTCTCTGCTTTTCTCCTCAGTCACATTTCTATTTATAGTCACTTGTTTTTAAAGTGTATATATATATACCCTGTCACCAAAATTCCCCTACATTTTTTAGTATACCTGGAACCTCTTACCTAATGGACATTTTCCCAAAATGCCCAATTTCTGTCTCCTCGGGAGTTCGTGCACTCCCAGAGACGCGTGGAGGGTGACCAAGCCAGGCGTGGTGACCCCAGCAGCCCACGTGTGGTACACCGCATGCCTCAGCAAAGTGCAAGTGACCACAAGACCCAGGCTTTCCGGGGCCCTTGGCAATGTCCAGACCGAGGCTATCCTGAGACTATGTCATATTACACACTTCGCCCTCCCTGTCCCAGGCCCCCACGGGGCATGATGTGTGCAGTTGAGCCATGGGATCAGCTACAGTCCAGGCTTCTGCTCTTGTTGCAGCCCCTTTCATCGAGCAGCTGGCCAAAGTCAAAGGCTGCAGGCTGAGGTCCGGAGTTCTGCTTTCTGGCCCAATTGTGACCTTGTGACTTTAGGTTTTAACCACCCTGGAACATGCTTCATGAATGTTTGCAAAGCACAGATTCACTGCAGAAGGAAGCCTGGCCCTCTGCCCTTTTGCTCACTGTGACACTCCTTTGTCTATAAAATGGTTGCTTTGCACAGCTGTTTTATAGGATCTCTCCCTGGGCTTTCCCTCCTCTGGGCTGTAGGCAAAGGGCTGCCACTCCCCTACAGGCTGTGTGTGGCTCCGAGAGGCAGCCCTAGTACCTATTGGAGAGGTTTCTGTGGAAGGTGGCCAGCCTGGATTATGTCTCACCCTCTCGCTAGCCCTGCCCAGAGCCCAGGTACTCACTCCTGTTTAAAGAAGGCTGGTTCAAACATGTCGCTACAGTGTCGCTCCGAACTACCTAACGTGCTGTTGAAAATATAGATTCTTGGGCCTATCCAAGACCTGTTGGAAATCTGAATTCCTGGGGTGTGTCCCTGGCATCTGCATTTTAATAAATACCTTAGCAGATTATGATGTCCTCTATTGTTTGAAAGCTCTTGCTTAAAAAGAATAAAAAATATCCAAAATGTACATTTTGTAGGCTTTTTAAAACACAGTAAAAAGGACATTCAGTCTAATTTTTATTATACATGTAGTATGTTTTATGCATTTGTAGAAAATATGTGAGTAAAAGAAAAAAATCACTTGGCTGTCTAGCACCCAGCAATAAGCACTATTAATATTTTGGTATAATCTGATACATTTTTGTTATAACATTTCTGTTACAAAAGTAGGATCATACTACATGGACTTTTTAATAAATTTTTGTTTAATGAAATAGCACTGTGTTTGTTAGACCACAGGCTAAGCTGCTGTAACAGAGACTCCAAAATACAGCTGCTCAATAAATAGTTTCTTTCTTTCTCATAATACAGTCCAGAGAACAGTGGCCTGGGCTGGTGGTCGAGGATGGTGGTGCGGCTGTGCCCCGTGGGGTCATGCAGGGACCCAGTTCCCTCCACGCTGTAGCTCTGCCATCCTTGGGGTGCTGTCTCTTCTGGCTGGTTGAAGCTAGGTCACCTCCATGTCTCTTCCAGCCTACAGGAAGGAGGGTGAGAGGAAGCCCAGGGCAGGTGACTTTGCATGAAGGAGATAGCTCAAAAGTGAGCAGTATGGCCACTGCCTAGGTGCTCACAGGGGGATGAGGATGTGGTTTCTATGCTGCCGCCATGGGCTTAGCAGAAGCTTTAGGGATGCTATTACAGAAAGGAAGAAGGCAAGAATGGGCACTGGGGGACACTCTCTGCCATAATAAAAAATGCCTTTCTAGGTCAGTTACTAAATATTTAAAATATTAATATTTATAATACGACATTAATATTTATTATAATATTTATGACAGTTTTCTATTGTTTGAATTTTATTTTTTATATATATATATTTTTTGTGATGATACTTTTTCTGCAAGTGCAAACCATCCTGGAATAAATATTCGTGTATTATAGATATGTCCTTATACATTAGGCAGATTTTCTTAGGACGATACATTCATAGGAATAGACTTAGTGGTAAGAGGGTAGGCATGTCTTTAAGACTTCTGATACATATTGTACTTTAGAAAAGCTGAACCTTTTTACATTTTAATTACCATTCAAGGCCTAAAAATATTTTTTGAAATATCACCTTAAAACTGTCTACCCTAATTCTATAAGCTTTTCCTCCTGATCTTTATATATGATTATCATAGAAATATAACTTCAGTCCATATTCAGTTTCATTTTCTGACTTTCCACTTAGTATTATTTATGAAAATTATTTGTAAACAGTTTTTATTTTATTTCTACTTATTACAGTGGCATGCTGTTTGTATATATTGATGTATAATATGTTCTATTTACCCAAATATCTATTATTGGACTTTAGCTTATGGAAAAGGCTTTTGTTTTTGTTACTATAAATAATGTTCTTCAGACTTCACTCTTTTTGAGATGCCTTTTCAAATGGGTAGCTTAAAGTCCTAAGTGACTCTGAGCACAAAAGTCAAGTTTAGAAGTTCATTTTGAGTTATAGGCAAGTTTTTCCTTTTTATTCTATACCTAGTCCTGGTGCTTTATGTGAATGCTGAAAGACATATGATAAAGTGAGGAACTGATGTCTGTGTGCAGTGTCAGAATAGTTTGCACTGATATATTTTCACTGAAAATTAGAGATGGGGAACAGATGTGCCAACAGGTGCTGAAAATCCATATTTTGTTCTCTGGTAAATATGCCACGTATATTTAATATCCGTCATTTGCAATGGCAAAAGCAGATGCTAAACATTTATCTTGTAGCAATCCCCAGTAGTATGTAATATCACACTTTTATTATATCAAACAGTAGAATTTTATGCAATTGATAAATATAATTTAAAGCATATCTTGTATCAGGGTAGTAGCTACCTTCCAATCATACAATGAGAAACTGAGTCATTTAGTAAAGAAGAACAAAACGATGCCATTTTATTTTAAATAATGGTTTTGAAATGAAGAGTAAATCTGGATATTAGTATAAAATTGATTTCTGAGTATATGGCTAGCTTCAACAACCTGTGATATTATCTTAAACTTCTGTGTCAAATAATTTTTTTTCCAATTATTTGTAGAACGTTAAACTTCAAAAGTTTCAAGCCTTTGACTGGGGAAGCAGTGCCAAGAATTATTTTCATTACAACCAGGTAAAGTTTTCAGTCTTTTAATTAAAGTGGGCCCTGAAAATTCATCAAGGAAGCCGGCCTATCAGGATTCTGGTCGGGTCAGGTGCTGTGTGAAGTGTTTGGGAGAGTTGACTAGATAATCTTTTCTTCCCCTCAGTCCATCCCCAAATAACCCAAGCTTTGTGGTTGGTGTTGTGTACTGGGCTGGGCCCTCTCTCTTCCTTCCCCAGCTCTAAGTAAGAACCAGCACTGTCCTGTGTCATTCAGGGTGATAGTGAACACAGAATTTAGACTCAGACAGTACTAGGTCTGTTACCCGGTAGCTGTGGAGTCTTGGCTAAATTACATCGCTCAAGCCTCTTTTTCCCTGTACAAATAAAATGATCATTTTTTGAGTGCTAAATGCACTGAAGTGTTGAGATACTCTGCCCATGTTTTTCTTATTCTGGAATGTCCCTGTGACATAGATGTGATTATCTCTGACTTAAAGATGAGGAAACTGAGGCTTGTGGAATTTCTGTGCCTTGTCTTACACCCAGAGGGAGAAGGTAGGAGGGTATGACTCCAAAGCTTCTTCAACCACTTGGTTCTAGTGCTTTGCGTCTATTACCCAGGCAGAACTACACCTTCCTCACCGGGGAGCGAGCACGTGTTATGGTGCCCAGCATATGGTAGCAGCTCCAGAGCTAGCAGTATTCTACTTAGTATTCTTTCATTTGGGGTTAGACTTCCTTTTTGTTCTGGTGATGGTAACTCAAAAAGTATGCTGATAAGGATTTTCAAAATTTAGTCTCATATTCGTAGAATAAACTTACTAGACAATGTTTAACAGAGATTGTGCGTAATGTGGTGTGGCTCATTTTTATCGTAGAGTTACCCTCCCATGTACAATGTGAAAGACATGCTTGTGCCGACTGCCGTCTGGAGTGGCGGTCAGGACTGGCTTGCGGACGTCAATGACATCAGTATCTTGCTGACTGAGATTACCAACTTGGTGTACCACAAGCGCATTCCTGAGTGGGAGCATCTCGACTTTATCTGGGGCTTGGATGCCCCTTGGCGGCTGTATAATGAGATTATTAATCTAATGAGGAAATATCCATGAAAGCCAATTGGGAAATGTACCAATGAGTCAGTGATTCAGTCATGTGAAAATGTGTTTGTTTCATTTCTGTAAAATATTTGTTTTCCTTTCCCAAGTCTTTTATATTTTTATATCCAAGAAAATGATGATGTTGAAGATGCCCTATTCTCTCTAGTTAGAATTAGAAACACCCGAGCTATTTTTTGTTTAATTATGGCTGAATATGGAAATAGTGTCTTAGCCATAGTGTTGTCTCTTTAAGTTTTTTAAAACCACTGATATGTAAAAAGGTCATTATAACCATTCTGTTTATATTGACTTTTTACCCACACACAGGACAAATTAACACATGAGCTCAGTTCTCATGTCTTTGCCTTAAAGCGCTCTCCAGTCTAATGGTCTTGTATCTAGGGATATGAATGACATTTTTTCCCTGTGTTTTCATGCATTATGTACATAGTCAAATCCAGTGCTATCTCAGCTGTGCATGTAATGAAAGATTCCATAATGAATTTTGTCAAACCTAACTGTGACAGCTGCTATTTAGCACATGTTTAAATTGCTCAGGCCAAGCCAAATAATTTTCTGGAATTTTCAAAAACAAATTGCACTGATTTTAAAAAAAGAAACTATGTTTTAAATAGCTTGAAGACTGATACACTCAGCCATCTATATTAATGAACTCTAAATTTTACAGCAGACCATAATTCTACTTGTCCGAGAAGAAAAGCCCTGTGGGGAGACTACACCACTACTTTTCCTGAGAGTAATGTACTCCTTAAACCAGCTGCTATAGCTCAGTGATGACGTCACTGTGAAGCCAAAGCGCTGTGGTCGCCCATGAGAAGTGTCCTAGTTCATTTTCACTCAGATGAAATGTGAACATGATTGTTTTCCGATGAAACCTCAGCTCAGGGATTCATTTTATTTTTTCGTTTTATATGTGCCCATATTTTTCATACATTTGCTTCGCATCCCCACGTTGGGAAGCCTATATTCATTTGCTTCTCTGGCAACATTGTTTCTTTACAATACTGTCTGATGGACAAAATGACAAGTGATATGTTTTCTTGTTGTAGTTACTTTAGTTGCAATAACAATACTTGATATTGGCTAATATGTAGGGGCAGAATAATACTTTGTAACATTTAAAGAGTCTTACTTAAACTTTTCAATAAAACCCAGTGCGCCTCATAGGCTTGAAGGATTTTGTGTGTGGATTTTGTCTTTTATTTAATAGCCATTCTATTCTTCTCTTCCTCCCTTCCTCTCTTGGCACGACTTATGCTTTCCTGTCTCATCTCCCTTTCCTCTGTCCTCCTCGTAAACCTCACTGATACTGCTCATGAATGTTTGTTCCTCTTCCATGGGGAGGAGAGAATGGCGTGGTTTGCAAACACTGGCTTTGAATGTCGTGTGTGAACGTGGTCCGTGTCGGTGAGGCTGTGAGTGGAGACTTGGCAGTGGTTACCTGCATCTGCGTGGAGTGACTGGCTGCAGGCAGGACCATGGGTTCAAGGACCGTCCATCCGACTCCCTCCTTCAACAAATGAGGCAACCAAAGCCAGCAGAGACAGATCACACCAGAGGCCTCCCCCCAAACATAGATATGAGGCCCAGTATGATCTCTCCTGCTACTCTGAGCTTGAGGGCATAGGCTATATCTTACTCATCTCTGTATACCCAGAATCTAACACAGCCTGGAATATGGTGAGTAATAAATATATGTGGATGGACAAAATGTGTGAAAAACGAGGACTTTATTTAGAAATGAAATGAATGTACAAGTAACATCGGGGAGGGTCTAAGGACTGATGTTGGAATCAGTATGATATTTCATGGCACTTGTAAAAAGAGTAAAAATTGTCCTAGACGCAAAAGGTGTGCATCCTTAGAATTCCACCCTCCTTGTAGACCTATGTCCCCCCGAAAGCCCTTATTTCACCTTTGACCAAGGCAAACGGGTTTGGCCAACCAGGTACACATACTCGACTTGGGTAGGGATGAAAAGAAAGGGACAGTGAGTGGATATTTTTGTTTGTTTTTTTCTAGTAGTAGAGAAAGAGAGAGCTTGCCAGAGAATGGCTTTGGTGCCATAGATGACTTGATTTCTCTAGCGTTGGCTGTTGCCATGGGATGCTCTCAGAGATGCCCTTGAGAGCTCAAGGTCAGTCAGGCTCCCACACACCAGGCAATAAATTGAGGAATGAACAAGGGATGCATTCCAGAGTCCAACTGGCTTACAAAGCAACAAAGTTCTCTACCTTTCATAGAGGAAGGCACTAGAGAAAGCCTCCTTATAAAAAGAAAAGTGGAGGGAGCGTGGGAAGATTTTTGTCTGCAAGGCCAAAAGTGCCCTCTTGTGGCAAATTAAAAAATGACTTTTCTTCATTCTCAGCTGTGAGTTCATTTGGTAGCCCTTCATTTTTCCGTGTAACACATATCAGAGAAGAGTTCCCAGTTGGCAGAATGTTGGCAAGTCTTCTCCTTGCCCTACAAGACTGTAGAGATATTGGTGTTCTGCTCAAAATAAGCCGCGTCAAAGCCAGTTGGAAAAGAACAGAGCCAAAATGTCACAGGATTTCTTGCGGCAAAAACCTCCAATGATGAAAAAAACTATGTGAATGCAGCCAGGATTATGAGGCTACAAAAGGCTTATGCAGCTATGTCCAAAGCAAGAGGCAAGTAATCAGTGTAATCCAACTGTTGCAGGAACAGCTGTGCAACTTCTGCACCTTTAGTGGAGTCTCCAGAGAAAAGTCTGGAAAGAAGACAAAGTAAAACTAGGTAAGTGAGTTTACGCGGAAAAACGAAGAGCTACCAAATGAATTCGCAATGGAGAATGAAGAAAAGTCATTTTCCAATTTGCCACAAGAGGGCACTCTTGGCTTTGCTGGCAAATCTTCCCAAGCTCCCTGCTACTTAACTTTTTTTTTTTTTTTGAGACAGAGTCTCACTCTTTTGCCCTGGCTAGAGTGAGTGCCGTGGCGTCAGCCTAGCTCACAGCAACCTCAAACTCCTGGGCTCAAGCGATCCTTCTGCCTCAGCCTCCCAAGTAGCTGGGACTACAGGCACATACCACCATGCCCGGCTAATTTCTCTATATATTTTTAGTTGTCCAATTAATTTCTTGCTATTTTTGGTAGAGACGGGGTCTCGCTCTTGCTCAGGCTGGTCTCGAACTCCTGAGCTCAAACAATCCGCCCGCCTCGGCCTCCCAGAGAGCTAGGATTACAGGCGTGAGCCACCGCTCCCGGCCTACTTAACCTTTTTATAAGGAGGCTTTCTCTAGTGCCTTCCTCTACAAAAGACAGAGAACTTTGTTGCTTTATAAGCTAGTTGGCAATTTAATGAAGGGTAAGGCCAACCACGGCTGTGGTTATTTCTATCCAGGATTATGGTAATTCTTGCCAAATGGATAACATCTCGAAAATGTCTGTTCCCCAAATGCGACAGGAAAATAAAAATTTTCCTAATAGGTGAATGAGTTCAGAACCTCGAACATGGATGAGGGCTGGGTGGTGGGTGGAGAAGGTTTTAACCCAGGCCTCATGCTTATTAAGAACTGAAATTTAGACTAGTGAGATTATCTCCCAGCAACGATTATTTTGTGTTTGTAGGTATTAAAAGTGTTAATTTAAAAAATGTCAACATTTAAAATATACTGTAATTTGATCTCTTGTCATTTATGTTTTAACATATGGAGAGGTTTTCAAAATAGAAACCACTCTGCTCTATTGTGATGCCTGAAAGGCAACACTGGGTATTAATTATTCTGATTTTTTAAAAAAATCATTCAAGAGTATTTTATTGTGTTGTGCTAGGTACGGATTTGAAGTTAATTTCCAGACTGAGAAAGTAAAACTTTTTCTCTGCCCAATTGTGTTAGTGTTACTAAAAATAATACTTTGCATTTTACATTGTGTTTCTGGGATTTTAAGGCCTTCTCATAAAGCTTTGATCTTTGCAACAACCAAAAGATATTTGGAAAATATCGTTTTTGGAAAAAAGATATCATGTAATTGGTGACAGGCTTTATTCTATTTGGGAGGAGGAGCAGTATCCAAAGTCTTTGGTGAGTTGGTACCAAATAACTTTGAGTTTGTATAAATACACACAGGTTTGATTGTTGTACTTTTACAAAAGTGATTTGGCCCCTAGTAATAACTAGAAAAGAAAGAATTCCTGTCCTTCAACCATGCCAGAAAGTTCATGCTGATAAAAATGATTCCCAGGAAGTCATTATCAATTGGAGAAGGACAAGAAATAGTGTGGCCAAAGTTCTAATGCCATCTGTCAGAACCCCTCCTTTTGTGGAATACCATTCCTGTAGGTAAGTAGATCTAAACTATATCAACCTGTGCTCCAGAAAAAATGATTCCATTTTTCAGCCTCAATTTAGAATCGATATCTTTTAAAATGAGTATTGAGCCGGGCATGGTGGCTCACGCCTGTAATCCTAGCACTCTGGGAGGCCGAGGCTGGCGGATTGTTTGAGCTCAGGAGTTCGAGACCAGCCTGAGCAAGAGCGAGACCCCGTCTCTACCAAAAATAGCAAGGAATTAATTGGATAGCTAAAAATATATAGAAAAAATTAGCCGGGCATGGTGATGCATGCCTGTAGTCCCAGCTACTCGGGAGGCTGAGGCAGTAGGATTGCTTGAGCCCAGGAGTGTGAGGTTCCTGTGAGCTAGGCTGACGCCACGGCACTCACTCTAGCCAGGGCAACAAGGTGAGACTCTGTCTCAAAAAAAAAAAAAAAAAAATGAGTATTGAGTCCACAGATCTCTTTCAAACACTCATTATGTATAGTATATAATGGTTGATTCCGTGGGAAAAAGTCCTAGACGATATACCCTGTGCTCTAAAAGGAACTATTCATCTATCTAGCAAGCTATTACATTTTTGCACAGATAAAAAATGTTTAAAGGTGCAAGCTTGCTTAACTCAAGAAATGACATCATTTTAGTCAATACTAAACAAGTTTCCATTTTATTTTGATCTATTAAGTGATGCTGTTTTTGGTCACCTGACAATAGTATGCCCACTTTTTCAGCATCTTCCATAATATAGGGTGGAGGGCTGATAAGATTTTAATTGATGAATTTCCCTGAGATGGTTGCATTTGTATACTAGACACAAACTGTCCTTGTCAGCTGTGTGTGACCGTGTCAGCTGCTTGTGGTTGGGACAAGAGAGAAGCTGTTGTTATTCTTCAACATGTCTCGAAGTAAGAGGGGGGAGCTGGACAGAACAGACTGAAGCTGCAGCTTTTAAGATTGCTGTACAGGGCTTTACATAATCAGCACATCAAGACTATTCTAACAATGTTAGAGGATAGAGGCACCAAAGCAGGAAAAGAATGGGTTGGTTGGGCATGAGGGCTCAAAGGAGATAGTCTTGACAGCAAATCTAATAGCTAAATCCAGATGAAGAGGCAATGCCACACACTCAGGAAAAATCTGCAAGAGCATCCAAAGCACCCAAGCATGAGAGCTGAGACCACAAGAAAAGGACAGTGTGTACTGAAAGGAAATTTGAGGTTGACTTAATTTCTGTCGAGGATAAATTCGAGTGATATTTATGAGCAGAATTCATTTGTATTACTGAGAAAATGAGCTCTATTGTACTCTTGGAGCACTCCAAAGAGTGAAGGAGAGAAAACTCTTCCTCTTTTCTCTGAGATGCTGAGTCAAGGCAGGACAATGTCTACCAGGAATGAGAAGGAAAAAAGTCCCCGGGTTGCCCTAAAAGTGAAGTGGAAATAGCACTGGGGAAGGAAGGGAGATTGGGGAGGAACCTAGAAAGGATAGGTTGTCTGACTGGAAGAAACTCATCAATAGAGAGGCCAGGGGCCTACATTGTACCTGTTTTCTGCTACCATCTAGACATCAGAGCAGCATTAGAAAAATCCATATTCTTTCCCTTTTTGCATTGGCTATAAAGAAGCTCAAAGCTACTTCTGAAACTTTAGCACATCAATAGCAAATATGCAAAGGATATAATAATATTTTTATGGCACACTAGAGTTTAAAAAAAAGAGGCTGCTGTAGGGCCAGAGACTATTGCCTAGAGGCTCCTAGGAATGGATATCTAAGGAATATCAGTATTCCCTCGGTGGCAACTGGGGGCACACACCAGTTGGGAGATTCTGAATTCTGTATTGGCCTATTATATATGTATATATGTGCTATATTATGAATTGGCCTACTGTATAATATCACATGTATATACCTATTTATATGTTGCTATATTTTAGGCCCATATATTTATCTACATTTTTATAGTACTTATTTTTCCCTTATAATATATGGTTTTATATCTTTTATTTCTCTTTACATACTCTTTTTTTCCTGTTTTTGAGACAGGGTCTCACTCTGTCACCAGGGGTAGAGTGCAGTGGAGTCATCATACTTCACAGCGACCTCAAACTCCTGGGCTCAAGCATTCCTCCTGCCTCAGCCTCCTGAGTAGCTGGGACTACAGGTACACACCACATGCCTGGCTAATTTTTCTATATTTTTTGTAAAGACAGGTTTGCCCTCTGTTCAGACTGATCTTGAATTCCTGGCCTGAAGCGATCCTCCTGCCTCAGCCTCCCAAAGCACTAGGATTACAGACATGAGCCACCTCACCTGGCCACATAATCTTATTTGATTTTAATTTCAAGTTTCTCAATTATTCTTCAGGTAACATGTGGTGTTCAAATTTAAGATAATATTTATGTTATTTGGTGTGTTCACTGTGTGCTAGGCATTCTGATTTTACTGCTGTAAACCCACAGCAGTAACAGTAAAGCCTACTTCTCAGTAGGGTGAGGAAGCCAGCTCTTTTGAGCATTGGATGAAATCACTTTGAGTAAAACATTTAGCTAATACCTGGCACCTAGTGGGTGCACATTACATGGTAGACATTACTATTACTTTTCCACTTAATACTCTCAACACACTTATAAAATGACTGCTATTATTATTTCCCTTTGGTGGGGGGAGATAAGAAAATGCAAGCTTCAAGGAGTGGAAGGCTGGCCCCCATGGCAGTGATACAAGCGACTCAGCTAGAACTGGGAGTGGTCCCTGGATTCCAAACTTCTGTCCAAAACTTCCTTAGGGGTCCCTTGTGCTTTGTCGTGTGTCAGCCACCGGGGTCAAGCGCGAGTCTTTTAGTGCTCGTCTAGGGTCTAGAGTTTTCCTACTACCGACCCTGGCGGTGGGAGAATGCAGGGGATGGTGATAGGCCCACAGCCCGGCTCTCTGGGCCAGGAGTGGTATGAGGGGAGGGAGGTGGAGGGCTGGGGGCAAGTTGGTGCCAGGAAGCCGGCAAGGATAGGGCGACATCACTTGCTCCTTCAACGGGCTCACGGAGGTTTAGGGACGCACGTATCATTCCCGTGGTGAACAAAGTAAGCAGTTTACTGATCTAATTGCTTCCATCCCAAACTGAGATGCAAAGGCTTTTTAGCCAGACTGGCTCAGGCTCTGAGTGTTAAATCCAGCGTTTCCTCCTCCAACCCCCAGCGAAGCCCAGCCCTCTCTTGGCTGCTGTGCCTCCCGGTCCGGTAGCTGGCCTGGGCGCCCGGGACGCGCCGCTGACGGTCGCCCCTGCAGCCGCCCGCCGGCACCAAAGCTCCTCTCGGGAGACGCTGGAACTGGCGGAGGTCCCATGCCGACACCCGTCCGGTTTGATTTCCTGCGCTGACCGTCACAGCCGGCGGCGGCTGGGGACCTGCGGTTCCCTCTGCGAAGGGATCATTTGCTGCTCGCTGCTGGCTCGACTGCTACCGGGTGCGCGGACATAAAAGATCCGAAGTACATGGCACGTGGCTTTAAAAAGCTTTTAAAACATGCAGTTTTACTTCTGTCTTTATGAAAACACATTGATACAGTCATTCGTATGCATTTAAAAATACAAATAATTCTGCACTGATTGCAAAAGAGCACTTTCTGGTGGCAATGGAAACACTCTCCAGGTTGGGAGCGGTTGATGACACGGGTGAATTGAGTTGTTAAAGCTCATAAAAACGCCACGCTGTAGATCTATATTTTATATTGTGTGTCAATTGTATGTCAGTTGAAAAATCTGCATGTATATGAAAAGTTACTAAGTGTCGCCGCATGCATGCATATATACAAGCCAGTTAGCTGCGTCTGTAGATGAGTATATTTACAGCAACTCCGCACAGCTCTGCCGGGTTGTTTATTCAAGCTCCGCGCTGCTGGGAAAGGGGGAGAGAGGCGGCTGACATCACTCGGGGCGGGGCCGCAAGTCCCAAGAAAAGTCTGTGGGACGGGAGCCGCAGCAGCTGTCTGGCACAGCCTCGCCATGAACTGCGGCAACTGCTCCCAGCCCCAGATCCTCTGCAGCTCTGAGCAGCTATTCCTGCAGCCCCTCTGGGACCGCCTGAGGACCTGGGAGGCCCTCATCCAGTCGCCCGTCTTCCCGGTCATCTTCTCGATCACCACCTACGTGGGCTTCTGCCTGCCCTTCGTGGTGCTGGACGGCTTGTGCCCCTCGGTGCCCGCGCTGCGGCGCTACAAGATCCACCCCGACTTCTCGCCATCCGCGCGGCAGCTGTTGCCCTGCCTGGGGCAGACGCTCTACCAGCACGTGGTGTTCGTGTTTCCCGCGACGCTGCTGCACTGGGCCCGCAGCCCGGCCCACCTGCCCCGCGAAGCTCCCGAGCTGCTCCAGCTGGTGCACCATGTCGTGTTGTGCCTGCTGCTCTTCGACACCGAGTTCTTCTTGTGGCACCTGCTGCACCACAGGCTGCCCTGGCTGTACCGCACCTTCCACAAGGTGCACCACCAGAACCCGTCCTCATTCGCGCTGGCCACGCAGTACATGAGCATCTGGGAGCTGTTTTCCTTGGGCTTCTTCGACATGGTGAACGTCACGCTGCTCGGGTGCCACCCGCTCACCGTCCTGACCTTCCACGTGGCCAACATCTGGCTGTCAGTGGAGGACCACTCCGGCTACGACTTCCCGTGGTCCACTCACAGACTGGTGCCCTTCGGGTGGTACGGGGGCGTGGCGCACCACGACCTGCATCACACTCAGTTCAACTGCAACTTCGCCCCTTACTTCACACACTGGGACAAAATACTAGGAACTCTGCGCCCCGCGCCAGTGCCCGCGTCGTGACGTGGCTGTGGTGGGTGCCTCTTTGCCTTTCACACTTGAATCAGGAGAAACACACCTGAGCTATTTTTTTTAAAGCAACTAACTTATTAACTGATGAAAATTGTTATAGATAAAATCTGATGGATTTTTGCATTCTGACAAAGTAATTTATATAATGTTGTATATTAATACAGTTGTATTTTTGGTGTTAAATTCTAGCTCACTTCAATAGCCTTGGTTCCTGGTTATAAATGAGGCATTCATCACTAGCATATTGAAATCATCTCTAAAAGGATTTGTTTGTAGAATAAGGAATTCTTAGGTTTGAAAGTGCCCTAGAACCTGGCTAAAAGAACATATTTTTATGGAAGATCTTGACTTCTGACTCTAAAAATAGTGAAACATGTTCCTGCTGGACAGTGACCAAGATTATAGCATTTTTTTCTATTTTTTCATAGAGCTGTATATTTATTTTGAAAGAAATGTTATTTGTGCTTTAAGAAAGAAAAAAATAAGAAAATGAACCAAATAAGTACTGGCTCCTGTTTCATTGGCATTTTGACGGATAAAAACTAAAGAGGGCAGAGGGAGCTGGGGTGGCGTCCATCAGCCTACCTCGGAAGAGTGGAATCTGGTGGTGGGGTGTTTTGGGAGGGGTTGTAGGAGAGAAGGAGGCAGGAGGAGGGGTCTGTTTGTCTGTTTTGGTCTAGAGATTTCACAGAGGGAAACATACTATTGTTCTGAATGCTTTTCAGCTGATTGCTGCATAACAGGCAAATAATAGAATTACTCTGTAAAGTTTTACAGAGAGATTAACACGGGGCAAACATTTGATTATTGGGGGAAGATGTTGGGGAATGAACAGAACTAGAGGAGTGCCTTGCTTTGCAAAACTGGCAAGTCAAGTATTTACACTAGAGCTGCTGCTGAATGCAGAAGGGTTTTGAGTAAGCCCCCCTTTTCATGAAGCCATGCTCAACTAGTGCAAATGATCATCAAAACCTCACCTCTGCAATCTGGAATTTTTGTATATTCTGTTTTCTTAATTAAGACATACATGCAACATGTACAGCTCTTCCTCAAAAAAAAAAAAAAAAAAAAAAAAAAAAAAAA